ATAGATTAGATAGATTGAATAGATTAGATAGATTAGATAGATTGAATAGATTAGATAGATTAGATAGATTAGATAGATTAGATAGATAGGATAGATAGATAGATAGATAGATAGATAGATAGACAGACAGATAGATAGACAGATAGATAGACAGACAGACAGACAGACAGATAGATAGATAGATCGATAGATAGATAGAAAGAAAGAAAGAAATATAGATAGGTAGATAGATAGATAGATAGATATAGATTAGATAGATTAGATAGATTAGATAGATTAGATAGATTAGATAGATTAGATAGATAGATAATTAGATAGATAGATAGATAGGTAGATAGATAGATAGACAGATAGATAGACAAATAGATAGATAAGATAAGATAAGAGTAGATTAGATTAGATTAGATTTAGATTAGATTGGATTAGATTTAGATTTAGATTAGATTAGATTAATAAATCGATTGGTATTATAATCACACGATTATTTAATAATAGTAAAAATAACGATATATGATATGCCCCTGACTTCAAACATTGCTTGTGCAATCAGACTTTCATAGCCAAGAGACCCCCCCAGGATGCTCAAAGTCTTTCCAGTATGAAGTTCAAATATTCGCGCCGTGCCATCCTGTTGGTCGTACCGACTCGTTCAACTCAAAATTCAAGAAAGACTGTACCAATCCAAGATGGAAGCTGATTCTCTTGGAATATAGATAGATCGATTTTACCGACACATCTACAAACAATAGATATATATATATAAACTACACATCAGTCATAAGACCATTAAGTAGGATACTGGATGACTATATATTGTTTCCTCATTGTCAGGACCTGGCCTCTGAGGCTGTGCACAGCTTCCGCGGCGGAAGACGCAGGAGTGTGAGCACCGAGCCCTGACAAAGACCGACGGCACCTGGGAGCTTCGATATCTTCGATATTCCCATGGTGAAATCTTTGATGTCATGGAAATCTTTGAAGATCAACGGGAACCTTTTGTAGAGGAGAAGATCAATGGGAACCTTTTGTAGAGGATAGGACATGATAGGACCTGTCAGAGAAATCCAGAGTAAATACCTATGATACCTACACATCCAAACATGATCAAACATGTTCATTCTTATGAAGTGGTAATTGAATCTAAATGGTCCAGTGGCGGCCAAACATGTTTCTGGCACCTCTAAGCAACCTCCGCCACCCCAGGGACCTGCTTCCCGGTAGCTGGTTGTGAGCTGGTTGTGCCGTCTAATTGGGTTTCATCCCAGTTACAAAAGGGTTTGCAAATGGTTTTTGTGTTTGCTTACTGTATGCAACCATGCTAACTATGTGTTGTTTTCACAAATACACACATATATTAAAGTGTGTGTGTGTGTTGTGTCACACACCGCTTCGAGGCATTCATACAAAAAAACACACATACCCAACCATCACATCAAGTCCTGAAGTTGGATATTTCATATTATATTTGCCCTGCTAAATCTCCCATTTATCTATACTATCTAACACATATAGGATATGAATACACACACACATATTATATATATATATAAATTATAGATTCCCATCACCTTTCCCCATTTTTACCACAACATATATCCCCCCAACCTTCCCCCTGCCATGTCGCACCTGCCGTGTCCCCGAGGTCCAGCTCGTGTCGGCCAAACATCAAGGCGCTCTGCGGAAAGGTGCCCAGCTCCGACACGTCCAGGGCCTCGATCTTCTCCCGCAGCTGGGACACCGGGTCCTGGATCTTCATGGATCTTCCAATGGAAAACTTCAAGTGGATCACTGGAAAATAATGGAAATACTTCAGGAGACTCATATTTTTCAAATCACAGTTATGCTGCATATATATATATGTGCAAAATGATTTGGTACTACATGTAGTGGATATTGAAAACTTGTGTGAAATGATGTAGGACTGATTAGTGGAATTTCACGGGATCATATATGGGATATGGGATCCAAGTTGGATCCAATCTAATCTTGATAGCAGCATGACAAGGGAGCATCGAATTGAATTTACGGCTGTCACTGAGTCTCAATCTTTAAATGATGTGTTTAAAGTGTGAAGGGTGCACCGCACTAGTCTTGATACGCAACCGTTTACAGCCATAACCCATGAAACGCTGTTGCTGACAAACACATCAAACACTGCAAAGCTGGGTGCCTACAAAATCATCATTGATCATCAATGTCAACCACATGAATATATCATATTGATCATTGATCATCATCAAATTTTCAGCAGGAAACATATTTATGGAACCACTAAGAAACATCCGGCTGAGCTGCAGCTGCATTGACCTTGATAGTGGCCAGCCTGAGGCATGCGCCAAGAGTAGGGGATGGGGGCAGTGGCTCTCTCACCATTTGGGTCTGAAAAGGATGAAGAAAACAGGAAAATTCACAATCCAAAAGATCTATCATAATATGATATAATATGTATATAATATATATATATGTATATATCGGATTATATAGAGGGTTACCCTAAGGTGGCACACCAAACCAGGTGGGTCTAAGATGGCAAATATATGCAAATATCATTTTTGGATTCAAGAAATCGCAGGGGTCAAAGTAGTCACCAAGGCTCCACCCGCAGAACCAAAGATGGCACAATGCTATTCATGGGGTCCATCTTAATGACTGAAAGCCAAAAAAAAACATACTCAGACCATTGCGGTGGTTGTGTGCCATCTTAGACTCCTCTATTAGACCAAATACATTGGTGCATACTTCTTGCATATGGGAGGGGTCACACTAAAATGGCACACCCCGCTTTCAACGGATGCGGGGGATAGCGGCACTAGTTCTGGATAGTTTTGGTGTCTTTACTAACTATGATGGCACATAGAAACGGGGGGCTTCCTAGAATGCCACCATAAGCGTCAGGACACAGCGAGGGAATGAACGCCTCTTTGATGGCATAAATGCAACTTGAGAGGGGGAACACGAAAGGTAGGTAAGCAAGAAAGGAACCGAAGAAAAAATGAAGGGGAGAGGGGAGGGAAAAATACATAAAGTGGAGTCTGGTAAAAGCGACGCGGCCATTTTCTTTCCAAAAATATGAAGGGGAGTCTGGTAAAAGCGACTGAAAGGCTTCGGCGATGTGGTTGGGGTTGGTGGTGGTTGTGGTGTTGGTGGTGTTGGTGGTGCTGGTGGTGTTGGTGTTGTTGGTGTTGTTGGTATTGTTGTTGTTGGTGTTGTTGGTGGTGGTAGTGTTTCTGGTGTTGTTAGTGTTGTTAGTGTTGTTGGTGTGGTTGGGTTTGTTGGTGGTGTTGGTGTTGTTGGTCGTGTTGTTGGTGTTGGTATTGTTCGTGTTCGTGTTGTTGTTGTTGTTGTTGTTGTTGTTGTTGTTGTTGTTGTTTGTTGTTGTGTGTTGTTGTGTGTTGTTGTGTGTTGTTGTGTGTTGTTGTGTGTTGTTGTGTGTTGTTGTGTGTTGTTGTGTGTTGTTGTGTGTTGTTGTGTGTTGTTGGGTGTTGTTGTGTGTTGTTGGGTGTTGTTGTGTGTTGTTGTGTGTTGTTGTGTGTTGTTGTGTGTTGTTGTGTGTTGTTGTGTGTTGTTGTGTGTTGTTGTGTGTTGTTGTGTGTTGTTGTGTGTTGTTGTGTGTTGTTGTGTGTTGTTGTGTGTTGTTGTGTGTTGTGGTGTGTTGTTGTGTGTTGTTGTGTGTTGTTGTGTGTTGTTGTGTGTTGTTGTGTTGTTGTTGCGTTGTTGCGTTGTTGTGTGTTGCGTGTGTTGTTGTGTGTTGTTGTGTGTTGTGGTGTGTTGTTGTGTGTTGTTGTGTGTGTGTGTTGTTGTGTGTGGTTGTGTGTGTGTTGTTGTGTGTTGTTGTGTGTTGTTGTGTGTGTTGTGTGTGTTGTGTGTGTTGTGTGTGTGTTGTGCGTTGTGTGCGTTGTGCGTTGTGCGTTGTGCATTGTGCATTGTGCGTTGTGCCTTGTGCGTTGTGTGTTGTTGCTGTTGCTGTTGGTGTTGTGGTTGTTGGTGTTGATGTTACCCCTGCAGCGTTTTTGCTCGGTTCCGTAGTGGCCGAAAATCGTCAAATCGGTGGTGTTTTCGCGTGTTTTTGCAACTCTCGGAGCAAAAAACACCGTAAATACCGATGTTTTTGGCGGGTCGGAAGCCCAAAACCACGGTATTTACGATGTTTTTTGCCTCTGGTAGTAAAAAGCACGGTATTTACAGTGTTTTTTGGCCAGCACCTAGCAAAAACACTGGTATTTACGGAGGTTTCACCATGTAGCAAAATGTGGTTTCTTGATCCGAAAAGAACAAAAATACTGTAAATTACAATGTTTTGAGTCTGCTCTTAGGGTGCGTGGGAGGTGTGGAGGGGGGGGGGAACTAAAATGACTAGCAATCTCCTGAAGAATCAGGTAACGGGGCTGGCCGCCCTCCCCTTTACTTCGTAAAGTAAAACTCAAGGTAGCCCCTCTGGAGCTACCTTTCGTGATATAAATGCATCGTTTTAAGTGTATGCCATCTTACCATGACACCATATATAGATAATATATAGATATATTATATAGTTAATTATATAACCTTGGGATATCTTTGGATAATCATTTTCGCCATAAACATTCTCTGATTTTGGGAAGATTTTTGAGCATCTGAGCTTCTGGCGTTTCACCAGACAGGAGCTTCACCTCGACATCGAAGGTCTCGGTCTCCGTCTCCGGGCGCGGGCTTCGACTGCGGGATCCTAGGGATTCAAGGACGGATCCAAAGGCTGGTAGCTCTTTACCCTTTGAATCCCTCTGGCAATTTCACATAGCTAATTAATGCTAATTATATGTGGCAAATGGATGCAAATGGATGCAAATGGATGCAAATGGCCAAACATTGTATGTAGATGATTTACATTGATATTTACCTATCAAAAGTTTTCCATAGCTATGCCAAAGGATATAAAGTTGGGCAGCATGGAGCATGGGGCAAGACTCAAAAGCTCTGATTTGATGAATGATGGGATTTTGAAAAAAATTGGAAAGCGGTGAAAAGTAAGCACGTGAATGCAACAGGAACAAACCTAAGAGCAGTGAGTGCGATGGAATACAGGAAAGTAGTGAGCGGCAACACATTCCCATCCCTCAGCAAATCCAAAGCTTCTACTTCCAACCGATGTCATCAGTGCATCCTCCTGACATGAAGCATGTTCCCCCTACAAGGGTGCGTCCATGATTTGACGCACTGACTGACACGACTATCGGCCAAATATCTGCGCGTATTACATGTGTGCACGCTTTTCGCATTCTCTGCACATGTGCATGTTGATATCTACTGGGGTATCACAGCATATCACAGCGCGCTGCAAGCCGAAAATCTTTCCAGTCTTGACATGTCTTAACTAACTTAACAATTACATCCCTGCCTCAGTCTGGAGCAGTCCACGCAAAGCTCAAGTCCACAGGCTAAACATTTCCGCAGGGCTGTGTTTTGCAGTTGTTGTTATTGTTGTTGTTGTTGTTGGACCGAACCCATGTGACCCATGTGTAAAGCAAGTGTGCCGTGGATGTCATGGTGGCTAAGGGTGCTAAGGGTGCTAAGGGTGCTAAGGCTGCAAACATGTGCAAACGTCTTTGTAGGCATGGTATCTGAGTTGTTCTGTGAAGAATCATGGATGGATCCACTTGGCTAGGAATCACATGGACTCACCATTTGAATCGCAGATGCAGGACTGAGCCAATCAGCCAGTCCCAAAGATGCGCCAACAACAGCCTGACAAATCACCCAACTGCCAGGTACAGTCACTAGCTGCATCGCTCTGGAATGCATTTTAACCCTTGGCATAGCAGCTCGGCAAACTCCACATTTTTCAGCCGCTGTAAAGAACTGTCCCTGGCAGCTGAGCAGAATTTGGAATGCTGGTCATTGAGCAGAAGATAGGACGAAGCAAGCTTGGACATCTTGGACAAATGAATTCCCAACTAATAACATCAATGTAGAACCCAAAGTAGGAAGGAGTCAGGTTCATTCTTGAAGTTTTTCCTGTGAAATTCCGGCGGTGTGCTGGGTCCTTGTAATTGCGTTTCAAAAGATCACACTTCGGACCGAGCAAATCAGCCCTTCAAAATGCGCGCTGTCATGTTATACTAAGCAGAAATAAGCTAGATGAAAGTCCCATGAAGATATCCCATGATTTCATCATATTCCCAAGATATTCCCATAGAAGATTTCCATGATTTTCCCTATTGTACCATGATATTCCTAAGGCTGGTGATGAACATCTCCATGTGATTTTCCACCTTCCCACCGACATGTCCTGCACTGCTCGCAGAGCTCGCTGTCACGACGTGGCACACAGCGCGTCTCCACGCCTGGACTGCAGTTCGTGAGCAGGAACCCAGCAGTGCTAAGAAGTTGAGTCCCTGGATATCTATAGATGTTCTTGTGATGCTGGTGATGATAACAGGCCGAGTTGTAAACCAAACACAGCACATCACAGCACCCCAGTGTCCGCATGTTCAAGGCAAGGCAAAAAGGAAGGCTACCTTCTGAATTTGTGCACACCTTCGCATGATCAACGAGAGGTGAGACGGCGCCGGCTGACTCTGACGAATTTACCCTTGCAATTTGCCCAAGGAAAACCAGGAAAAGCAGCAACAAATGCGTCACAGCAAAGTGCTGCTGCCAGTAGTTTCTGTGCCCATCACGTGCCGCTATGCAGGTTGAGGCACCCTATGATCCCTAAGGGTTTCAAGGGGTACCTCGTCTTTGGGCGAGGGCGAGGGCGGGAAATCCATAAAACTTTGGGCGTTGCAAGTGCGCAAGGCGCGCGGAATTCACAAATATACCTGCAAATCATTCTCATCATTTAGATTTAGAACCATGACGCCTACAACGTTGCTGAGTGCTGTTTCATTGTGTTTGTCTGTAGTCTGTAGTCTCATGTCTCATTCTGCCGCACTAGCTTAGTTTCTGTGAATTCGACCAGTCGCCTGGCAAAACTGCCAGAGTTACCGGGCTCGAACAAGCCCCGCTCAAGGGGAAAACTCACAAATGGGTTGCAAGATGTAACTCACAGTCTGCGATCCGGCAACCCCATCTCCACACTGTTCAACCACTGAAGCGTGGCTGGCCGCGAGCAAGTTCACAGCATGGGAGTAACAAAACTGTTGAAACGCAACGTACGAATTAGGCTGTGCACCATTCAGCTGCCTAGATTGCTGAATAGCCGCCAAATGACATGCCGAGGGGTTCTTGACCAAAAACAAAACCAGACCGAAGGGCCGAAGGGACGGTTGATATTTTTTTTGATTGTCGTCGAGTCGTCATGTTTGGTTTCGATTTTGTTCGGAAAAAAAACGAACCCAACATGTCCTGGCATAAACTTTGCGTGCTGTACATGGCATTGATGCATTACGCATATGCCGCATATGTGTGACATGGGGCATGCAGTCAAATGGACCACCTCTGTCCACCTCTCAGTTCTTCAGGGGACTCACCTTTGAAGATGATAATCGCTCCTTGCCCTTCTTCAACTTCGTACTGATATCCTTAATAGTCTTCCTCCTTGGTGCCACATCATGAGTTGGAACAAAAGCAAACTGATACCGAACTAATACACGCCTAACAAACAGCAGGATACATTTCAATGCATCTCATCTGGTTTTCTCTGGCATCTGTTGACTGTCTTCCTGCTGCCGCGGAGGCCTACCATCTTTGTCCGAGTTTCAATCCTGGCTTCTCCATGACGGACAGACTGTCCAAACATTCCTGTGCAGAGGGCCTTTGGTTGGGATCAGGATGCCATGCACGAGGCAAGAAGGCACGGAGCTCCCGAGTTCCCACTGAAGATCCAAGAGTTGGACGAGGCTCTTCACCTAGCGCTGCATGGCATTCACTCGCATGCCATCAATGACATCACATGTGCATACTGCATACGTGTCCAACTCTTGAAACGCTTTGTCTAGCGGGAAGTTGTGCATGTTTTCTGGCTTCTGGTCTTCATCTTATAGCTCTTCAAAATGTGTCCTCACGTGTCATGAGTCATGACCATCTCTCTCCTCTCTCTACTCTCTCTACTCTCTCTACTCTCTCTACTCTCTCTACTCTCTCTACTCTCTCTACTCTCTCTACTCTCTCTACTCTGTCTACTCTCTCTACTCTCTCTACTCTCTCTACTCTCTCTACTCTCTCTACTCTCTCTACTCTCTCTACTCTCTCTACTCTCTCTACTCTCTCTCTCTCTCTCTCTGTCTATCTATCTATCTATCTATCTCTCTATCTCTCTATCTCTCTATCTCTCTATCTATCTATCTATCGATCTATCGATCTATCGATCTATCGTCTATCGATCTATCGAGCTACTATCGATCGATCTATCGATCTATCGATCTATCTATCTATCTAATCTATCTCTCTATCTATCATCTATCTATCTATCTATCTATCTATCTATCTATCTATCATCTAATATATCATCTATCTAATCTATCTAATCTATCTATCATTATCTATCATTATCTTTCATTATCTATCATTATCTATCATTATCTATCATTATCTATCATTATCTATCATTATCTATCATTATCTATCATTACCTATCATTACGTATCATTACCTATATCAGTATCTATCATTATCTATCATTATCTATCATTATCTATCATTATCTATCATTATCTATCATTATCTATCATTATCTATCATTATCTATCATTATCTATCATTATCTATCATTATCTATATTATCTATCATTATCTATCATTATCTATCATTATCTATCATTATCTATCATTATCTATCATTATCTATCATTATCTGTCTAATCTATCTAATCTATCTAATCTATCTAATCTATCTAATCTATCTATCTATCTCTCTCTCTCTATCTATCTATCTATCTATCTATCTCTCTCTCTCTCTCTGCTGTCTTTTCATATTGGGCTGACGTATTTTTTCCTCACATGTTTAAGCTAGTCAGGCTGGCATTTCTATGATTTCTTGAGGTGGTCTCTTCCACCCCTTCATTTAGGGCCAGCTTCAGCTTGCTATTCCGTTCTCTGCTACATTCCGGTCATGTATGGTTTTAGCAGCACGCCACTCATCGTTTAAGAAACCATATGCCTTCGCTGCAGTTTGATTATGCTTGCCCGAGGTCGGGCAACACAACCAACCGAGAAAAAACAAACATGTGCTGCAGTAACTGCAGTACTCATTCATGGCTGCCCTGGCTGCCCCAAGAATTCTTTCCGATTCATCACCCTGGCCTCTGCGGTAAGCTCGCAAGACCGCGCGGGGATCCTTCCCAAAGGAGTAGAATGGCCTTGGCCCAAGTGCTCACGCTGCACCCCACTCGTTATAGAATGAAACTAATTGAACATAATTGAACAATAAGATCAGGGATAAAAACCGGCAATCCACGTCATGAACCGCTGAAAAGGCACTGCGTCCCAGAGAAAATGAAATAGAGGATCAAACTGAAAGCAAAGATGTCGATTTTCTCGTCATACTGCTCATATCGCACCACTTCTGGCGCCATGTAGCGCCATGTGCCAACGCCCCCAGACATCTTTGGTGCCCGGTCGCTGCTCCTTTGTATTGCAACTGCAACCCTTCAATCAGAATCAATGAGAATATACCAATCACATGCATTGACTCTGCAACAAACATGCAACAAACCCGGTGCAATTCTCTTATAAAGCTTACAAGGAAATTTAGAAGTCAAACTCCCGACTTATGGACAAATGCAGCAACAGTCTTGGGAAGAGTCAAAGAAGAGCGAGTAAGTAGAAAAAAGATCCACGCGCGGGAAGAAGTAGAACACTCCCACACACTGCGTTTTTCCAATGTTTTGCTATTCCGGACTGTGTTTTCCAACGTTTTTCCAATGTTTTGCGGTTCCGGACGGTCGAAAAGAAGGTTTTCCAAGTCAAAATGTTGAAAACGCCTCAGCTTCGGAGCACTTTTGGAACTTGTGATGCTTAAAAAGTGCACGCAGCTGTGGCGCCAAGCACGTTTGGAAGTCGGAAGTCAAAATGTTACAGCACCAAAGCTTCCGAGCACTTTTGGAACTTGTGTTGCTCAAAAAGTGCACGCGGCTGTGGCGCGAAGCACGCTTCGAAGTCAAAATGTTAAGAAACACCACACATTCGGAGCAGTTAATCTGTCATTTTTCGCGGCAAGCGATATGGATATGGATTTTGCATTTTCACAAGAGTGAGCCAAACCTTTTGCAGCAATTTCAAAAACGATGGCAGGCGTGGGACGTTTTAAAAGAACCTCTGAAAGATGCATTGTGTGGGGCAGGCGCAGTGCACGAGACATCTCCATCAGACGTGTTAGGAAGTTTCCTGAGAGGGCTTGCATTTTCAAGAATGTGATCGTCAGGTTCGCTAAGATGATTTTGCGTGACAGGCGCTAAACTTCGTATTTCACCGGATGGGATGATGGGATATGATGGGGTGGAAAAATCGCTAAACGCAGTGGTACGAAGCCATCAGCTCTGCACTCAACTTGTCATTTATGAAAAGGACGCCTGACAGAATTTCTAGAATTGCTTCGTTTTTGATGTTGTCTCGCAGAATTTCTTCGTTTTGGAGCTGTGAACTTCCATTTTTCGAATAAGTCTCGCAAATAGTGTTTTTCTTTGGATCTGGCAACTTCCATGGTACTGGGTTGGGTCTAGTATTAATTGAATAATTACAAATAAAGAAACTCATGAGCAATGCCCATATGCATCCATATACTATCTCAATCTATATATATATGTATATTAATATACAAGTATATTAATATACAATATATATATATACAATTATATATATACTGTAATTAGAACTATTTAGAACTTATAGCACATTCTTGGAGACCTGTGGGGAACAGCCAGCACCACAATGAAACTCACCTGCGACACATTCCCTCTGAGCACCTTGAAGGCATCACCTTTGCAAGGCCAAAGTCACCGATTTTCACCTGACACCGCGTTGAAACGTGCTGAAGTTCCCACCATGTTTGCCCTTCTGCAATGCTTGCGGCACGCATTGGTACACAACATCCTGCCGCCTGAATATTCCCACATAAATGCATTGCCCGTGGCCTTATTTACAATGCTTTACATTGATCCATTCTCCAGCCTACCCCTGCTTACCGCTCTGGCGCCATGCTTTCACCCACTTCTGTGCCTACCAAAGTCTTTAAAGTATCCTTTGGAGTTTATGAAGTAAAAAGCCGAATTAGGGAATCATCAGTCATGATCTATCCACATCTGCCAATCCTTGCATGGACTATGCCCTCCAAAAATCATCAAAAATCCAAGCTTACCAATGGCGTCCAATGGCTCCCCGGGTCAACTGTCGCATGTAACCATCTGAGTAGTCATGATTGCTCCCACTTCCATCCACTTCCCAAACGACCTCCAAACTCCTCGTGAGAAACATATTCAACGGCTTGAGGTCGCGGTGGATGATGGGATGTGACAGGCCATGCAAATACGCCAATGCCTCACCAGTGTTCAAAGCCCAACGCATTGCCAAGCTGAAACGTGGCTTGAAGAAACCATCGACCGAGGAAATCCTCTGCCTGAGCATGTAGGTCCTTGGATCAAGGATCACAGTCTTGACCTGGAGAAACCGATCAAGCAAGACCCGACGAAATCACGCATGCACCCGATTTGAGGAGACTATAATGACTGTGCCATAATTACTCTATCTGGCTCTTGATGGTGCTTGGCCTTTTCCACTTCAGTCTTTGAATACACCTTCCTGCGAAACTTCAACAAGAAAAGCCAACAAAGTAGTCACATGCTACTGCGTTGCCATTGTGGGCAATTTATTTGTAGCTTTTCCTATCCCCAACAGTGCGACTTGACGTTGCATCCAAGTGTCTCCACATCTTGATTCTCAAGCAGCTCAGTGAGCATAAGCGGTTCCGCCGAATCCATGTTGGCCCCGAGAAGTTTCACCAGGCAGGGATGACTGATTCCACTGAGGATGGTAATTTCATTCACCAAGTCCTTCAGGGTGTTCTCTTTGCTCTCCGCATCTTGCTCATGATCAACCTTCAGTTGCTTTGCAGCAACCAAGTTGCCTTTCCAGCTTGCAATGGACACTGTGCTCTTGCAGGTGGTACAAAGTTCCTTCTTTACAATGACTTCCTTGGGGTCCACCAGCAAGGACAGGTCGCCCAAGCGACTGGAGATCGATGCAGAGCTCATCTGCTTGGAAAATTCCTCTTGGGAATCGAGACGGGTTCGGGTACTTGCAGAACTCAGATCTCCTGCAGTCTGACGATCGCAGCTCCACAGCGCAGCAGGTCCGGTCTTTGAAAACAGTGGCCGCGAGATTTCCGGAAAGGAACCTCTCAGCTGGCCCTCAGCTGCTTTGTTCGGGTGCGTCGGTTGCACCTCTTCTTTCAGGAGCTCCGCTTTGGCGATCGTGCTGCAATCTGCCCCCATGACGTACAGGCTGCTATTTAACTAAGCAATTAAGCCTGGTTGAGCCTTGAAGTGAAAGGTGAGAATAGTGACGAGGAAAAAACGAGTTCTTCTGTTGGCTTCAGGGATATACAATCGGATTTTAACAAGCGAAGCCAAGCAATCGGCCAACTTGTCAAATTTGTTGTTCACCCGGCCTTTGGCTGCAGCCAAGGCTTGCAAAGCTCTGTCCATGCCTACCAGCACCATGAATGACACGCCACAAGTCTCTCTAAGATCGAAGGTGTTTGAATGTGTTTGAATGCAGCCCGGACCGTAGGCCTGCAGAAAACATGGGCGAATTAAAATTCTTCTTTGGTCACAATAGCACTTGTACGCGCCACGCTTGCCCAAATTTTTTGACTATGTATTTGAATGCAACCCTGGCCTTCTTCCCGAAACTCAAGGTTGATATGCTTACTTGCAGATACTTGCAAAGCAACGGTGAAAAAATGGCGACCTCTAATTTCCATACTGCACCAATCTTCTGCAGAATCTTCCCGATAAATGCTTGGAGATATTGGATTCAATGTGAATCTCGACTGAATGCTGGATCTTGATACACCACAACCCTTGGTACATCGCAGTTGGGGCTGATACCTGCGTTTTTGCTGGATCTGGAAAATCTGGATGTTTGTTTGGTATTTTGGAGGTTAGATCCGGCGTCAGGTCGTTCTGGTGGCTGGTGACGTATGAAGCACCAGAACAACAACAAGTGGCCAACACGTCCAATATTGTTGAATACGCTGGATATATCATCCGCCCGACCAATAGTTTTTGAACAGGCGTAGGGTCCACCCAATGCGTTTAACAGTATACTTGAGGCCCAGGGGTAAGGGACGAAAGCTAGCTTGGCAGGGAGCTTGGCATGAAAACACAATGATGTTGAGGATGCGGATGCTGCCGAATTTGCTGCTGGTGGCGACATGCCGACGGTGTCCCCGGGGGATTGAGCCACGGCCAAATTGCTTGTGAGGCCAGCCGAGCGGGGGTAGTTAAGTATGAAGTTTCATGTGCCCCCAATACCTTGCTAAGGCAAGAGGGACTTCAGCTAGCGGAAGCTAGCTTTCGTGATTAGACTAGACTATCCATTAAAGTATCCTAATGAATAAGTTCATATAACATCATATATTTTGGGTTCATGCAGCAGGCACCATTTTTCTGTCACGCACGTAGGTGATGCCACCATGACCTCAATTCAGTCATGGTACCTGAAACTTCTGAATTTTTATACTTATGGCCCATGCCCATGGCAGGGCTTCAAACACGGTTAAGGCTCATGGCAGAGCCAGACTCTCCAGCCCCAAATAAGAACGCGGTCGGCGGTTGGATTTGGCATGATTTGGCTTTAAGGAAGAGAATCTACTGAGAAATCTATCCTATGGAAGACATGTTGAAATGACAAGCATTCAGGAACAGATCAAATTAATCCTTGAGCATGGATGTGAAAATTTCTAGATTTAGGCGCGTGCCGCCTTATAAGACTTTAAGAGGAAAAACCACTAGATCCACATGAATTGTCAACAACTAGCACAAGACTTCTGACAACTATTTGTTTTCGACAAAAGGCCACATGCATGCAGGAACTCCAGCTGCCGCAGTGCTTTGCTCTGTTTGCCTGCCTCGCCTGCAGGGAATGCAGGCCTTTGCAGCCTTTACAGAATGAGGCACGGCCTACAGAATAGACTAAAATGTGTGAAGCTACTTCCAGCTGCAGTTTCACTAAGTCACTAAGAAGGATCTCGCGCTCTCTCTCTCTCTCTAACTTAAGAAAGGTATATGGCCGCAATTGTGGGGGTTACATACCAAGTGACTTTATACCAACTTGTGATGTTAGGTCTGTGGTGATGCCCATTTACAGCCCCAACTGCACCCTAGGTATTGTTTGGGGTTGAATTATTTCCGGACCTGCTTTCATGTTGGAAAGCATGCCTTTGAAGAGTTTGACCCTGATGGCTCTCCGGTACTTGGAGGGAAAAAAACGCCTTCTGCCACAAATTCATACAACATGTTTGATCGGTGTTTTGCTTACCCTGTCAAAGTGGGCAAAGGGCAGGCTGGCTATTTTGGTCAATCGATTCTTGCTGGCTCTGCTTGGCGCAGGCAAGCAGAATTTATCAGAATTCAACCCAGAAGTTTTGGTTCATGAATGCTGCGAGCAAGAACAAATGATGACTGTTTTGCGTTCAAGACCCTTCACTGTGCAAGCAGCTGGCCAAACATGCCAAACATATCTGATTTATCTATTCTATCTGAACCTGTACCGCTCGGGTATCAAGAGCAGGAGGAGGAACATATTCAACATGCAACACAGTGGTTGCCAAAACCTTCTTATGATGTGCATTCTAAGATTCTAGCCCGTGCAACTTATCAAATTCGGATAAATGTGGAGCATTTGCTAGTGCCGGGTTTGCAACACCGCTGATCATCGCTGCTGTGATTGGTTTTGATTTGTTCGGACACTATAATGACCTGGCATGCACTTTGCGTGCTGCACATGGCATTAATCAATCACGCATATCTGTACTGTATACACCCTTCATGGGGCGTCCAGTCAAACTGGACCATCTCTCACTTCTTCAATACCGTGCCCTTCTTCAACTTCATATTGATTTTCTTGAAGGTCTTCCTCCTTAGTGCTGAACAATGAATCTTTTGCTTAGCCATTGAGTCTTCAAGGGTGTACACAATAGGGTGTACACAAGTTGCGCACGAGCCCTCGCCAAAAAAAAACAATTGTATAGTTCGTTTTTTGGAGGGGTGCTAGCAGATTAGCATTCCATGTATTCCATGGCCAGGAAGAAACCATAAGAAACCATGGAGTGGCTAAGATGAAAATCTGTGACTGAAAATTTGATCAGCAAGCTTACTTTCACTGCGTTCCTACTGCCCTTCCTCGTCATGGCCTTCCTCTTTGACCTCCCGTCTTTGTTCGAGCTTCAATCCTGGTTTCTCCATGACGGACAGACTGTCCAAACATTCCTGTGCAGAGGGCCTTTGATTGGGATCAGGATGCCATGCACGAGGCAAGAACGCACGGAGCTCCCGAGTTCCCACTGAAGATCCAAGAGTTGGACGAGGCTCTTCACCTAGCGCTGCATGGCATTCACTCATGCTATCAATGACATCACATGTGCATACGTGTCCACTCAACTCTGGCTTCTAGGGCAAACGACCCATCTGCACACGCCAAGAGCACGCATCTGCGCACGCCAAGAATGACTCATTGACGCACGCCGCAAGCATACATCCGCACACGCCAAGCCAATGACGGGTTGGGGTTGGGGTTGGGGGGGTGGGGCGGGGTGGGTGTTCATGTTCCCTTGCACACACCAGCACTGCACCCTGATCATGCGTGGGGTGAGGTTGGGGTTGAGGTGGGGGGGGTGATAACGTTCATGTTCCCTTGCACACCAAGATTTGTGACATAATGTACCATATTTGATCTTGCTACTCTTGACCTCCGGACCCGCCAAGAAATCAAAAGTACATCTGCACCAAGGACATAGCTGCCATCTCTGCAAGCAAAACATCTTTTGACATGTTGACACGTTGACATAACCCTTCTGATGTGCACAAACGAGCAATTTTCAGGTGTACAAACAAACCATGAACCAAACACTTTGTCCAGCGGGAAGTTGTGCATTTTTCTCGTTTCTGGTCTTCATCCTATAGCTCTTCAAAATGTGTCCTCACGTGTCATGAGTCATGACCATCTCTCTCTCTCTCTCTATTGTCTTTTCATATTTGGCTGATTATTTTTTTTTCTCAAAAGTTCAGGGCTGACATTTCTCTGTTTTCTTGGGGTGGTCTCTTCCACCCCTTCATTTAGCACCAGCTTCAGCTTGCTATTCCGTTCTCTGCTACATTCCGGTCATGTATGGTTGCAGCGCCAGCCAAGTGGTGAACAACAAAATACGGCGCATTACGGAGCTGGTTGTTTTGGCATACAAACATCCTGATATTTTGGTCCCAGCACAAACATGTTCTTCTTGATGCGTGTACTGATGGTTGCTCCCGGCATCTCCGCGAAGCATCCCAAACCCACATCTCCTGGCCTCTGGAGTAAGCTTGCAAGACGGCTCTGGGATCTCTCCCATAGGAGTAGAATGGCCTTGGTCACTACGCACTCTGCTCACACTTGACGTCCCTTGCTGGAAGCAAACGAATTGAACCAGGATGTCAAGCATGGTCAACCGGCTCAAACGGGTCAAAGAACAAACCGGCCCACCACGTCATGAACCGCTCAGAGGCACTGCGTTCCAGAGAAAATGAAGTAGAGGATCAAACTGAAAGCAAAGATATCGATCTTCTCGTCATACTGCTCGTAGCGCACCACTTCTGGCGCCATGTAGCGCCATGTGCCAACGCCCCCAGACATCTTTGGTGCCCGGTCGCTCCTTCAGAGGCGGCTGTTTCGCATCTGCAACATTCTGCAGCAATTCAACCCAGCCCACCACCAAAAACATGTGAACCGAAAGGACAAATTCCCGTCAGTACCGATTGTTAAGATTCAGGTAACCACACAAACGAGGGGAAGGACATGATTTGTCATCCGAATCTTTGTTTATGTTTCCTTCCTTTTGGAGATCAACTTTCTGTGAGCACCTCGAAGACATCACCTTTGCAAGGCCAAAGTCACCGATTTTCACCTGAGAATGTGTTGAAATGCGTTGAATTTCATATAGATTCATATAGCTATACATACATCATACTATATATATATACACTAGCATTCCCCTTCTGGATCCTTTTTTGCGTCATGCCTATCATGTTATGACCCACTCCAGACTTTGTTGATCCATCCATATCGACAGCTTTACATAGCCTCTAGGGCCACAACAAACCATAAATATCCAAAGGTTGGATAGCTCTTCTTCTTGAAGGCTGCCCACGCAGTTTTAGAATGAGGGGGATCGTTCACACTTGTGGACAGCTGCTTTATCGGCATGGCTTCTTTGAAATCCCGGTGTTATCATCACGCATGTGAGTGGCGGACAACATTATTTGTTCCTACTAGTAGTGATAGTAGTAGTAGTAGTAGTAGGTTACAGTAGTAGAAGTAGTAGTAGGAGGTTACAGTAGTAGTAGTAGTAGTAGTAGTAGGAGGTTACAGTAGTAGTAGTAGTAGTAGTAGTAGTAGTAGTAGTAGTAGTAGTAGGAGTAGTAGTAGTAGTAGTAGGTTACAGTAGTAGAAGTAGTAGAAGTAGTAGTAGGAGGTTACAGTAGTAGTAGTAGTTGTTGTTGTTGTTGTAGTAGTAGTAGCAGTAGCAGTAGCAGTAGCAGTAGCGGTAGCAGTAGCAGTCGCAGTCGCAGTAGCAGTAGCAGTAGCAGCAGTAGGAGTAGGAGTAGGAGTAGGAGTAGGAGTAGGAGTAGGAGTAGGAGTAGTAGTAGTAGTCGTCGTCGTCGTCGTAGTAAGTAGTAAGTAGTAAGTAGTAAGTAGTAAGTAGTAAGTAGTAAGTAGTAAGTAGTAAGTAGTAAGTAGTAGTGGTAGTAGTGGTAGTAGTGGTAGTAGTGGTAGTAGTGGTAGTAGTGGTAGTAGTGGTAGTAGTGGTAGTAGTGGTAGTAGTGGTAGTAGTGGTAGTAGTGGTAGCAGTGGTAGCAGTGGTAGTAGTGGTAGTAGTGGTAGTAGTGGTAGTAGTGGTAGCAGTGGTAGCAGTGGTAGTAGTGGTAGTAGTGGTAGTAGTGGTAGTAGTGGTAGTAGTGGTAGTAGTGGTAGTAGTGGTAGTAGTGGTAGTAGTGGTAGTAGTGGTAGTAGTAGTAGTAGTAGCAGAAGTAGTAGTACTCGTAATACTAGTAGTACTGGTAGTACCAGTAGTACTAGTAGTACTAGTAGTACTAGTAATACTAATAGTACTAGTAGTACTAGTAGTACTAGTAATACTAATAGTACTAGTAGTACTAGTAGTACTAGTAGCATTAGTACTAGTAATAGTAATAGTATTAGTAGTACTCGTAGTACTAGGAGTACTAGTAGCACTAATAGTACTAATGGTACTAGTAGTACTAGTAGTACTAGTAGTATGGTAGTAGTAATAGTATGGTGGTGGCAGAAGTAGAAATAGAAGTAGAAGTAGAAGAAGAAGTAGTAGGAGTAGTAGTAGTAGTAGTAGGAGTAGTAGCAGTAGTGGTAGTAGCAGTAGTGGTAGTAGTAGTAGTGGTAGTAGTAGTAGTAGTAGTAATAGTAATAGTATACTTGCCCTGGGCACTTGCCCCACTCGCCCTACTCGCCCCACTCGCCCGAGTCGAAGCACTCGCCGGGGGATGGGTAAGCAGAGCAAGTGCAAGCGGGGCAAGCGGGGCAAGGGGGGCAAGTGGGGGCAAGCAGGAAGAACCACCGATCTTCCCTCGGTTTGCAAGTAGGGCAAGGAGGAAGATTCACTTATTTTCCTTAGAAGCGGAGCAAGCGGGGCAAGCGGCAAAATTCACTCAGCGGCCCCGCGGGACAACCACACTGTAGTAGTAGCTGTTGTGTGGTACTAGTAGTAGCTGTGTGGTAGTAGCGGTGTAGTAGTAGCAGTAGTATATGTAGTAGTAGTCGTCGTCCTCCTCCTCTTGGTAGAAGAAGTAGAAGAAGTAGTAGAAGAAGTAGTAGAAGTAGTAGAAGTAGTAGAAGAAGTAGTAGAAGAAGTAGTAGTAGTAGTGGTGGCGCTGGTAGTACTAGTAGTAGTAGTAGTAGTAGTAGTAGTAGTGGTAGTGGTAGTGGTAGTGGTAGTAGTAGTAGTAGTAGCAGTAGTAGTAGTAGAAGAAGTAGCAGTAGTAGTAGCAGTAGTAGTAGTAGTATAGTAACAATAGTATACAATAGTAAGTAAGAGTCAGAGTAGTACGTGGGGCATGGTCTCGGTAAGTGAAAATACTTGCAAAAATGGGTTCGGTTGGTATCGGTGGGGGTATCGGTGAGAATGGTGCGTGAATTGCCGCAAACATCCGCAAACAATATATATATATGCTTGGTGCTCTCTAAGAGAAAGCGAACTGAGGTAGGTGTTTACAGCCTTGTTTGTAGCCGTTGCTGTAGAAAAAAACGCCCTACCCTACTCCAGATTATTATTGTGGGAACGTGTTGGAATCTAGGGGTATCGGTGCTGGGTCGTCCCCTATCGGTTGTGAAGGTTTCATGAAGGCAAGCAAAGTTCAAGGCAGCTCTACTGCTGACACTTTCAAATGCTAAGAATTTTGTCGGATACTCATGTGTATGCATGTATTCCACATGTTCCTGCCCACCCACATCCACCCAGTGACCAATTCCATCCAATTCATTCCTCTACCCATCCACACGCCCATTATGCTTCCATTCTAGGTAGGCGACACCAAACACCACACCCAAAGGCGTGCAAAGGCCAAACATGGAATGGCAACCCAAAGTGCATACATGAATCATCTGAATCATCATGAATCATCCAAACCGCTCAAGCGACCTCCAAACTCCTCGTGAGAAACATGTTCAACGGCTTGAGGTCGCGGTGGATGATGGGATGTGACAGGCCATGAAGATACACCAGTGCCTCACAAGTATTCAAAGCCCAACGCATTGCCAAGCTGAAATGCGGCTTGAAGACACCCTCGACGGAGGAAGTCCTCTGCTTGAGCATGTAGGTCCTTGCAGCAAGATCTCCGGCAGTTTAAAGATGTTTGAAGGGGATGATTTCACTGAGAAGCTGATCTTAAATGAAATTGGACACGACGCATGCACTCCATCTGAAATTACATGAAATACTTTCATAGACATACATAGACTATTGCCACACTGCATCTGGGACTATGACTGTGCTTGACCTTTCAGCTTAGCCTTTGAACAAACCTTCTAGAAGGATCTCCCTAAAAGAGCCGCTCACATAGCATTACATCGAAGAGTAGTAATTATTGTACGCATCATACCACTGCATAGCCAACTATTGCCATGTTTGTGCATCAGCAACAACTGCGAAATGAGTTCGACAGCATTCCAATGCATTGCATGCTTTAGATTTCAGGATGTTTCTGGACTGTTTCAATCAAGACTTCCCTGAAAATTGTGGCTTGATGTTGCATTCAAGTGTCTCCACATCTTGATTCTCAAGCAGCTCAGTGAGAATAAGCGGTTCGGCTGAATCCAGGTTGGCCCCAAGAAGCTTGACCAAGCAGGGATGACTGATCTCACTGAGGATGGTAATTTCATCCATCAATTCCTTCATGGTGTTCTCTTTGCTCTCCGCATCTTGCTCATAATCAACCTTCAGTTGCTTTGCAGCAACCAAGTTGCCTTTCCAGTTTGCAATGGACACTGTGCTCTTGCAGGTGGTACAAAGTTCCTTCTTTACAATGACTTCCTTGGGGTCCACCAGCAAGGACAGGTCTCTGAGGTGACTGGAGATCGATGCAAAGCTCATCTGCTCGGAAAAATCGTCTTTGGAATCCAGACCGGTTTGAGTACTCGCTGAACTCAGGTCTCCGGCAGTCCCACGATCGCAGCTCCATAACGCAGCAGGCCCGGTCTTTGAAAACATCAGTGGCCGAGAGATTTTTGGAAAGAAACCTCTCAGTCGGCCCTCAGCTGCTTTGAGGGGCTCGGCTTTGGCGATCGTGCTGCGCTCTGCTCCCATGACGGACTGACTGCCATTTGACTGAGCAATTGAGCCTGGCTGAACCCTGAAGTGAAAGGTGAGAAAGGTGACAACTGCCTTTGCCTACGAGCACCATGAATGACACACCACAACATTTTTCAAAATCGAAGGTGTTTGAATGCGTTTGAAGGCAGCCTGGCCTGTAGGCCTGCAGAAATATGGGCCGAACCATATGCATAAAACTGTTCCTTGGTTCACAAGCACCTGTACGTGCCGCGCTTGCCCCAATATCTTGATGCTGAACATTGACACTACGTCTTTGAATGCAATCTTCGGCCTCTTTCCTAAAACTCTAAAAAAACAAGAAGAAACTTTCTTCGAGTGACCCCCACTCTTACACACTATTCTGACATAATTGCTGACATACCATCTGGACGATTCTGGAAGTATTTATGGCATTTATAAATATATAATGTAATATACATGTTACATTGAAATTCTATCTGACATTCTTTCTCGCATATACTTTGACATTCTATCCGGCATTCTTTCTTGCATTCTATCTGGCATCTGTTCTGACATTCTTTCTGGCATACTATTCTGACATTCTTTCTGGCATCTATTCTGCATTCTACCTGGCATCTACGCAGGCATTCAACCACGGCATTCTATCTGGCATTCCGTCTGACATCCATTCTGACATTCTTTCTGGCATCCTCTTCTGGCATTCTCTCTGTTCGGGTCCAGGCGCAGCCCACAGCGTTCGGCGATGAGCTGGCACAGAAGTAGATGAGAAGAGGCGGCGAAGAGAAGGAGGATGAGCTGCACCTTTGTTAAAATTTAGAGACCCTCACCTGGCAGGTGGGGAATGATAAAGGACACAAAGCGAAACCCAGTTGATATGAATATATAACTTGCAGAAAAACGGTGAAGAAAGGGTGACCAATCTTCTGCAAAATCTTCCCATACGGCACCAATCCTCTGCAGAATCTTCCCATTAAATAATTGGAGATATTGGATTCAATGTGAATCTCGGCTGAATGCTGGATCTTGATGCACCACAACCCTTGGTATATCGCAGTTGGGGCTGATACCCGCATTTTTGATCATTTTTGCTGGATCTGGAAGATAGTTATTGTTTTATTGGGGGGGTATTGGGAGGTTAGATCCGCCGTCAGGTCGTTCTGGTCAACAGATTCAATATATGGGAGATAATGCGGCCGGCAAATAGCTTTTGGAAGGGTGTAGACTTAAACCTCAAGACACCCAAAGTATATCTAGTATATTCGTATGTTGGAATCTTACAGTATCCTGATGAATAAGTTCATATATGATATGTTCACATGGCTCCTTCTCATACGCAGTATATGTTGAAAACAAGTTCGAATACTGCAGCTCAAGTTATGCAATATACGCAGTCAATCAGATTCAATCAGTTTACTCAGGACTGTGATCTTGGATGTCCCCATTATCAGTTAAGGATCCTACAAGATAGTTGGATGATTGGACCTGGCAAAAAGGATTGTAGGTTCTGGCCAGCAAGCACAATACACATGCTGAAACTCCAACTGCAACTCTCTTTTTTTAACTCTGTTTGCCGGCCTCCTGCAGGGAATGCGTCGGTCGTCTGCCAGGCATGGGCGTTTTAGGAGAACAGAATGAAACGCGTGAAAGCTACTTGGGGTCCAGTTTCACTTCAGAAGGGTATATGGCCGTAATTATTCGGGTTATTACGTGACTATATATATATAATGATATATATATACCAACTTATGGAGGCTATGTTAGGTCTGTGGTGATATCCATTTACTGCCCCAACCGCACCCCCAGGTATTGTTTGCGGTTGAAATATTCCCCAACCTGCTTTCACGTTGGAAAGCATGCCTTTGAAGAGTTTGACCCTGATGGCCGGGGAACTTGGAGGAAAGAAGCGCCTTCTGCCACAAACTCAATTACTGCAGTATGGTTTATCGCGGTTGATCTGGACATAATATATAGCTTTCATTTGCTTACCCTGCCAAAGTGAACAGAGGGCGTCTTTCTCCTACATAAAATCCTTCAAAGGACCAAGCCTTCCAACAGAAACTAGTTTGATCAATCGATTCTGGCCCTCTGCTTGCTCTGCTTGGGGCAGGCTTAGCTGTACAATCCCATAGGATTTATCAGAATTCAACCCATTGTCTTGATTCATGAATGCTGCGAGCTGGAGCAAATGGTGACTGTGTCGTTCTCAACCTCCTTCACAGCGCAAGCAGCTGGCCAAATATATCTGATTTATCTATCCTATCTGAACCTGTACCACTCGGGTGTCAAGAGCAGGAGGAAAAATCTAGACAACATGCAACACAGTGGTTGCCAAAACCACATGCTAGCCCGTGCAAATTATCAAATTTGGATAAATGTGGAGCATTTGCCAGTGCCGGGTTTGCAACACCGCTGATCATCGCTGCTGTGATTGGTGTTGATTTGTTCGGACACTATACGGCCTGACATGCACTTTGCGTGCTGCACATGGCATTAATCAATCACGCATATCTGTACTTACACCCTTCATGGGCGTCCAGTCAAACTGGACCATCTCTCACTTCAGTACCGTGCCCTTCTTCAACTTCATATTGATTTCCTTGAAGGTCTTCCTCCTTAGTGCTGAACAATGAACCTTTTGCTTAGCCATTGAGTCTTCCAGGGTGTACACAATAGGGTGAACACAAGTTGCGCACGAGCCCGCGCCAAAAAAAAAACTAGACGACGGTTGGCCCGAGAGCGAAAAAGATGTTTTTCAAGCGGCTCTGAGGATGGTAGTCGTAAAAGATAGTCGGTGAATAGTTGGTGAATTTTATATGAGCTATGGAAGGGTATGGTGTGAAAAAGTAAGATTGATTAAGAAGAGGATACTTGGCAAAGGGCATCAGATGACGCGTGTCTTGCAACCACAGAGAAAGAGGGAGGAGAGAGAGAGAGAGAGAGAAGGAAAGGGGGGTAGAAAGAAAACATGGAGAAATATAATGTGAGCAACAAAAATGCACAGGAGGCTCGGTACCATGATGCTGCGAACGACATGTGTTATCTCATTTTGCTATGGTAATTCCTGAACACATTGCCGAAAAAGCTCGGCAGCATCATTCCATTGCATGTCTCAATCGCAGACTTTTACACACAGACGTTTTTGCACACGGAGGCTTTTACACACAGACCATTTTACACACAGACACTTTTACACACAGAAGCTTTTAAACACAGAAGCTTTTACACACGGAAGCTTTTACACACAGAGGCTTTTACACACAGAAGCTTTTACACACAGACGCTTTTACACACAGACGCTTTTACGCACAGACGCTTTTACACACAGAAGCTTTTAAACACAGAAGCTTTTAAGCACGGAAGCTTTTACACACAGAGGCTTTTAAACACAGAGGCTTTTACACACAGACTCCTTTACACACAGACGCTTTTACACAGAGACGCTTTTACATACAGACCCTTTTACACACAGACCCTTTTACACACAGAAGCTTTTACACACAGAAGCTTTTACACACAGAAACTTTTACACACAGGCCCTTTTACACACAGAAGCTTTTACACACAGAAACTTTTACACACAGGCCCTTTTACACACAGAAGCTTTTACACACAAACACTTTCACACACAGACCCTTTTACACACAGACCCTTTTACACACAGACACTTTTACACACAGAAGCTTTTACACACAGAAGCTTTTACACACAGAAGCTTTTACACACAGAAGCTTTTACACACAGAGGCTTTTACACACAGAAGCTTTTACACACAGAAGCTTTTACACACGGAAGCTTTTACGCACAGACCCTTTTACACACAGATGCTTTTACACACCGAAGCTTTTACACACAGAAGTTTTTACGCACAGAAGCTTTTACACACAGAGGCTTTTACACGCAGACTCCTTTACACACAGACGCTTTTACACACAGACGCTTTTACATACAGACCCTTTTACACACAGAAGCTTTTACACACAGAAACTTTTACACACAGAATTTTTTACACACAGAAGCTTTTACACACAAACACTTTCACACACAGACCCTTTTACACACAGACCATTTTACACACAGACGCTTTTACACACAGAAGCTTTTACACACAGAAGCTTTTACACACAGACCCTTTTACACACAGACGCTTTTACACACAGAAGCTTTTACACAGAAGCTTTTACGCACAGAAGCTTTTACACACAGAGGCTTTTACACGCAGACTCCTTTACACACAAACGCTTTTACACACAGACGCTTTTACATACAGACCCTTTTACACACAGACTCTTTTACACACAGAAACTTTTACACACAGAAACTTTTACACACAGAAGCTTTTACACACAAACACTTTCACACACAGACCCTTTTACACACAGACCCTTTTACACACAGAAGCTTTTACACACAGAAGCTTTTACACACAGACCCTTTTACACACAGACGCTTTTACACACAGAAGCTTTTACACAGAAGCTTTTACGCACAGAAGCTTTTACACACAGAGGCTTTTACACGCAGACTCCTTTACGCACAGACGCTTTTACACACAGACGCTTTTACATACAGACCCTTTTACACACAGACTCTTTTACACACAGAAGATCCCCGACCCCAACTGGTTCAGGAGTAGGGGGGGTGGATCCTACATTTCTGATAATGTATGAACATAAGGGGAGGCACCGCCCCCGCCTTAAGAGAGAGATAGAAAGAAGAGCGACAGGAGATCTGCAGATGTGAAGGTGTGAAGATGTAGATCTGCAGATGTGAGGGTGTGACGGTGTGAAGATGTAGATCTGCAGATGTGAGGGTGTGAAGATGTAGATCGGCAGATGTGAGGGTGTGAAGATGTAGATCTGCAGGCGTGAAGGTGTGAAGATGTAGATCAGCAGGTGTGAGGGTGTGAAGATCTAGATCAGCAAATGTGAGGGTGTGAAGATGTAGATCAGCAGATGTGAAGGTGTGAAGATGTAGATCAGCAGATGTGAAGGTGTGAAGATGTAGATCTGCAG